TAAAAAAAAACCGATACTATAACTCCCTATAGTTATTTCCCAAAGACTTCAATTGGCTGCGAAGAAAATAGTGTTTGCACCTTTTTTATGCTAGTCAGCAATGTTAAAAAAAAAATAAAGACACTAGGTACCTATGTTTCTTTAAATTAATAGTAGGTAGTAGTATTGTTATAAATGTAGTAAAATGTATAATAGTATAATAATTTGAGATTAATTTATGTTTTCCCAAATTAAATCTAAACTGACAATAGCAATGAACACATTTTTAAATTATTAAAAATTAATCTTCTAGTTTAAATCGTGACGATATGTATATATTGTAAGATGATTTAAATCGGTGGTGGGTTGTTGGTGGTTGTTGGTTGAAATCCCACTGCAGTATTCGCGTGATGCCCGATGTCAATTCTATTACCATTATACAGACAGTATACAATATATATAAATATATATATATATACTTCAGAGTTTATATTTTAGGATCAGATTATCAAAACACAATACCCTTCAACACGACTAGTATAACTGTCCTTTCCATTATCTTGTTTTCTATTGTAACCTAACCAATATTTGTATTATAATATATTTTAAGTTTGATACTGGATAACATTTTAAGATATTTTATTTTAAAAACTTGAACTAATCTACTTAAATGTATTCTTAAATTCTAATTAATGTGTTCTTAATGTCTTAATAGTTAATACAAATTAAAACTAAACTTGACGTACATTATGTTGTTTAAAAACGATTTGGTACCTTTATTTGTTGTAACTTAAATTGTATTTTGTATTCAAGGGTTAAGCCCTTGTAAATCATAAATAAATATCATTACAATTAGGTAATAGGAAAAAAAGCAACAAAAAAAACATGTGCTTAATTACATACGTCATACATGTACCGTTCAACATCACCGTTCCATTTCTATTGAATAATATTATATTCTAAATCAATTGATCATAGCACTGAAGTACTGGAACACAGAATTACTATAGTATAGATACATATATGACTAAAAGTATTTTATTCAACAGATTATACCTTAGAAAGGTTCTAAGGAAATTTCCACAGAAAAATGCCATCATTTAAATAGAACAAAAAAATGTATTTTGTAGTTACACAATATAATATCTAGAAAACAATTTAATTTTTGTCTTATATTTATATTTATATTTTAGTTTAGATTGTATGTACCTTATTACGAGTGATTTTTTTCAAACAAAAATAGTTAAAAAATAAAAACTTACCTCCTAATCATTATTCAAAAAATACCTACTCATTACATTTTTTAAAATAAAATCCCTCTTCAACTCAACATTAAAATAAATATTTATTTATATTCTCTCATTTTGAGTAAAAAGATTTTAGCCCACCCTAAAATTGAATCTATTCTTCACCTACGAGTCTTAGGTTAATTAGTATATAGGATGCCTATATATTATATTCACCATAAATTTAAAAATGTAACACTTTTTTAGCCAATCGCTATATTTTTCACTCAATATAACTTTTGGGTTTCAAAAATAAATCTTCGATATAATATTTGAACCAAATAAGTACCAGAAAAATAATAATATAATTCATTTTTATATACATAGATAAGTTAATTTCCCGCGGCTTTCCCCCCTCAATTCGTTTGAATAGCACCGAAATTTATTAGACGAATAGGTAACGATTTAGGTGAATATAGGCGGGTCGCAGGTACTTTTCATGAACTTTCTATCCACGACATCTGTTTGTCGTTCCATCGTCACTACCTGCAGTGTCTATACTATCTAGTACTCTTTTGGAACCGTCGAACTCGCACGTCACTACTCAAAAGTCAAAACTCATACAAAAGTAGAATTGTTAAAATTTTAATAATATAATGGATCAATGATGTGCTTAATTTATTACAGATTACAGACTAAAACGTGCTTCTCTTTTTAAAAAGAAAAAAGGTTATATTGTCACAAACATAAAACCTGTGTATTAGAAAATGTCGTTTTTATTTAGACTTTATCATATACGAAAAAAAATTCGAGTTATCGAAAATTCGAGCTATATAGGAAAAATTGTGTGTACTTATTACAGGAATGTGTGTACATACACAGGATATAATACACGTGATATTATATTCTGTGTATAATCAACAATGGCATGTTCACTTTTTTTAGTTCTTCAACAAGTTCATATAATGTGAAATTTGTTTCATTCCTTACATTTCGTATTTTTTTAATTTCCTTTAATAAATTAAAAATTTTAGTTAAAATAACATAATTATAGTTAACCTAACCTAACCGAATTCTGTCGGTTAACTGACACTTTACCGGACATTGAGGTGCACACGTATTGCGTACCAAGTCAGGTAAATAAATTCTTTTTGAATGAATTACGTCCCGAACGCAATTCGTGTTACTTTTTCACCTACAGGCTACAGTTGATTATAAGTGGTTCCTCATATGTGATATTGCCATAATATAAATAGAATTCACATATTTTTAAAAGCTCATAAACATTTGAATATATATGGGTGAGGAGAATCAAAAAAACTATCCAATTTTGAATGAAAAGATTCGCAAATCCCGGATGCAATTCGTTCAAAAAGGCGTTCACACAGGAGCTATGGCCGTGTCAATTGTAAGAACGGCACTTATTCGTGTGCAACTGTGCAAGATATAATAATCAACTCACTAGTTTTTTTTTTGATATTACTGCACATTGTGTTGATATCACACATGTACTGCATATAATTAAATAGAAGACATTATAAATGATTGTATTTTCGGAAAAAAAAACTTAAACAGTGGTTGAACTATAATATAATTCGATCAGGTACGCTCAGAGTATGTCGAATCAAGTGATACTGATAGACAAATTATATTATTTATAACTAGATATATGGTTTCATAGAAACTAAATAATATATATTTTATATTTTAGGTACTATTATTATTATTATCATTAAAATATGTAAATTTCAAATTTATAAGCGGCGCCAAGAAATTAAACAAGTTAATCTCTGCTGAATTCCCGATTTCTAATCATATTATAATACAACCCATTAAGACTTTAAGCTATAACTCCATATATTATATTATGTACAATTTCACAATTCGGTAATTTTTATATTTTAATAACTAATTGTTTAATAGAATGAATTTATTTTGAACAGAACCGTTATAAAAATTTTAAAACTACTTTTGGTGTTTATGAACAACGGCTGTAGTTAAATTTGGGGGGGTTTCAAGTTTAGTTTGTTCAAACATTGAATTTATTATTTAATTTTACCTGCCTGTGTGTTACTATTATATATTATGTATAATATACATACAATTTATATAAATTATCGTGTAATTTTTTTTATTCAACTTAATTTGTTATACAATCATATTGCACAAGAGTCTGCAATTAAGTACCACATTTTATGTCTTTTTTGTCCTTGCTATCATATGCCAAGTCAGGGATCGGCATGTAAACTTTCTTGATTTTGAATTTTTAGAAATTTGTTAACTGATTTAATCACACCCAAGCGGTATAACAATATGAATCCAGAAAAATGTCGGCGTGAACAGCCCCACAAAAAATCATTTTCATTTTCATTTAGTGAGATAGATCTCCGAAACCGGAGAGCGGATTTCGTTGATTTTGGTCTTGTTAGGTTGACATTGGTTAGGAAAAGTGCAGTGAAGATTTGCAGAACTTTATCTTTAATAGTTAATTCACTACAGAACATTAAAAAAAATTAAAACAAATTTTATTGGGCGTTTTTTGATGTTTTTCATCTTTACAGCTTTGTAATGAATTAACGATTGGAGATAAAGTTCTGAAAATCTTCACTGCAATTCTCCTAGCAAATGTGAATTTAACAAGACCCCAAATAACAAAATCCGTTCTCCAGTTTCGAAGATCTACCTCGCTAAATGAAAATCTAGAGAAAATAACTCTTTTTTTTTTATCTGTGAAAAATAAAATAATTTTTAAAAAAAATTTAATTTCACATTTAGTGTCTACCTGATAATCCCTTTTTAATGAGTTATCAACCTACTTTCTAGCTAGGTATCATAGTTTAGGAGAAAAGTTAAAAAATAGAAATTTTGGGACTGTTCACTGTTCACGTTAAGGTTTTTATTATTATATTATGCTATTTAATTTTTATGATTTTTATTAAAGATAAGTATTTTGTTGTTTTATTGAATTGCATTGTTAAATTATTATATACATATGGTAGGTATATAATATATATTATATATGTAATATTTATTATACATTCCTTTTACTAAGATGGTAGCGAGAATAAAATGAAATGTGCAGTCCGAAATTTTACAAATAATAGGGCCTGCATATAACCAAATCCTAACTACGGGCGTGATAAGCGCGTATATCGAGTTTGAATCTCGGATTAGAAAAATGATATTTTGCAATTTTTTCGTAACGTAACGTTTTCAATTTCGATTCTGTGTGCCAAAGCAAAGACATAAAATGTCAAAATAATATCGATATAAATATAATATTGTACTCGTCGAATGATTTTTTTTGGCATTTAACACGATTTCCTGATGATCTATCTAAAAAATATCAAACAATTTTATTTTTTCAGTTATAAACCAGTTTTAAGCTATAATATTATAATATTTACCATGATTAATTTGCGACAATAACTTCTTAGCGACAGTAAGATTGTATATTTATATATTGTTATGTAATATTTATTAGAATGAATAATAAAATAAATATTTTTAGTGCATTTGATATTTTTAAAACATTTGTCTGTATTTATAATTGTTTTCAAAATTATTGTGGGCCCTAATTTTTAGTGTGCCCCCGGAACCAAAAGTCTACGCACGCCTATGCGCTTGACGATCAGATTGTTGAAAATAAATACATGCAATTGTAATACACTTAATAAACAAAACAATGAGATCCGCGTCACCAATTAAAATATATTACACACTTCGTGTTGAGAATTTTTCTGTCGTGAACGTGACGTGAGGCGAAAATCCGACGGCTACATTGCCACATATCTCTTATTGCAGCAGTGGTTGACATAACGTGATTGTGATGACATCTACGGTGGTGACGGCGACTACTTCGGTGGAAGCGGCAGAGTCGTCGACCGCGAGTACGACGGAGACGGTGGTTGCAGCGACGGCATCAACGGCAGAGGTAATCGCTGTGCCTCCGTCAGTTGTGTCGGGGGCTTTCATTTTGCCACTAGAGCCTGCGACCACCGAGATCGTAACCATCTCCCTGCAGATCCGTCGAGCCCTGGAATGCCCAATAGGTCTGACCATGATGTCTGTCATGTCGTGCTTCTGCTCCAATGGGCACGCCATGTGCCTGCAGTCTTGCATGCTGACGCTGTTGAACACCAGCACTACCTGTGCTCGCTGTTCCGGACGTCGATGGTGCAGTCCTCTTACATGTCGGCCATGGTCATTAAACTGCCTGAGGCAACTCCGTTGGTGAAGGTGGCGTGCTCAAACTGGTCGTTCAGGTGCCCCGATCTGGTTCCCGTTCGACCCGTTAACGAACATGAGTCCGTGTGTCGGTACGTGCTGGAGGTACCGTGTCTGGTGCATGTGTGCCAGTGGGTCGGCAGTACGAACACTTGTTCAACGTGCACCCCGGTGTTACCGCTGAGTCTTCGATAACGATAATATTATTAGGTAATAATATTAATTTGACGATATCGAGACACGACTACTCTACACCCAGTCTATGACTGTAACTAGTGATGTTCAAATTCCTGGGAATATAGTTTCGGGAATATAATACGTTTTTAAATATTGACCATAGGTTTCAGTTTTAAATTAAACTTAATGTTGTAAATGATCCAAATGACAGCTCTTTATTGATCTTATGTCGGTTAAGATATTTATTCTTTAAAAAAAAGTTATTAAGTAACTATAATTTAATTTTTTTAATTATAATCTGTACAATGATCACAACATAAACGATCCAACTTTCATTTATATATGTTCAAAAAATAAAAATAAACATATTAAAATTGAAATACTGAATAATATAAAAATTATAATTTTTTTTTTTTAAAGAAATTTCCTGAGAGGTTGAGGAATATTCCCTGTTCCTGGGAACATTCCTTGGGGAATATTCCTAATGGCACATCACTAACTGTAACGCACGGCTGTATGTAGTATGGTTGCTCATACGACGTCCCGACGTACAGCATGGTCTGTGTGCTAGTGTCGCGGAGGACGCGGTCGCGGATCCAGACGGAACTGTTCATGGTGAAGAGCACTCGGGACGGTCAACACTTGAAATCGAACCTCAACCAATATCGAGCTGACCCACGACCACCGGAATTCTTGTACCGGATTACGTGGTTCGACGGTAACGACCGGACCTGATCAAGAGCAGGACGACGCAGGTCTTCTGGAGTACGGCCCTGAAGGAGGGCTGCCACACCGCGGTCATTCCCATTGCGTACTCCATGTTCCGGTCCAGGTCCGGTCGCATGGAGATAAGTTGGTTCCGTCGGTACAATAGCAACAGCCAGGTCCGAAACCATCCATCCTCGACTTGAACCGCACGTGCCAAATGGTTTCGTCTTTATTTCTTAAAGTTATTATTACACCGCATCGACAGTAATCGTATGTAATAATAACTTGAAAAAATAAAAAATTTGGGCGTGTGGTTCAAGTAGAGGAGGGATGGTATCGGACCTGGCTGTTGGTATCGTACCGACGGAACCAACTGATCTCCTTGCGACCGGACCTGGACACCGTCGATGTACCTAACAATAATTCGACCACCGAAAATCAGTCTGTGTGTATGATAATTGTATTAAATATCAATCGTCGTTGACATCAAAAGCTCATCGTCGTGGGTCGACTCATAAACATTCACTACGAGATCGTGTGTGCGTGAGATGTTTGAATAATTATTTGTTTTTAAGTAATTTGTTTTTAACTGATCAATAAATGAACGTAATATTTTAATGAAATATATGGGTAGCAGTGTATATTCGCTCACATTTGACTTCTTGGTAAGCCGCCGCGTTTATAATTATTAAATCTGTGTCTGATTAATTTTGCTGTAGCCACTTTCACGATGTCAAAATTCTCTATTACACTCATTATTACGAATTCATTTTACTTGAATAATTATATAAGTACAACACAGCTATTTACTCCCTCAACACTGTTATACGTGATTCGACAATGTTATAGTATGGTACTGGACGGTTCTATTTCGTTCAAGTTATTCTACAATTTACTTTCTATATAATTATAATATAATAAATTGAATGAAAGTTTTATGATAAAATAGACATTTAGTTATAACGTTGTAGCCAGTATAGTATAGTAAAATATAAGTAGGTATAGTAGTAACAATTAAGTACCTAAATTATGTATAGAAACAATGTATATAATATGTATCTAAGAGCACAGTGAATAATTAAGCATGTAAGGATTTTTAATCGTAGGTTAGACACTACTTATTGTCATTGGATTAACTTTGATGATTAATACTATGGAATAAACGTAAACAAATGAAATGAAATTATCACTGCAGACATTTTTGTCGAATGATACTTAAAAAGTGGGCTACACTATACCTATTAAGTAATTTCCATATTGTAAATGTTGTGAAAATTGATCAAACTTGAAATAATTAAGATATGTGATCCACACGGTGTTATGAGAAGGCAATACAGTGAAATGTATATCAATGTAATATCATGACTTTTGTTATATTATATCATTAATTTGATATTGTGTATTAAATCATAGTACGTAGTACGTACCAATTTATTAGGTATGTTTAGTAGTATACTTGTGTGAGCTTATAATGTATTATGTTGCAACAAAAACGTTGAATGTCATTGAGTTAAGTTATTAAACACTTGAAGTATCTAATAGATATTATTATGTGTCAAGACATTATAGGTACCTACACAACGCAAACATCGTGACTGTTAAGTTTATATATTTATGTAGGTACACAATATAGTTATATATTATTAAGTTACCAAGAATAATATACTATATTCATTTTAATATTTTTACTAAACCTATTGGTGTGTTTTATCAGGTATTTAAGATATATTAGATACTTTTATAAAATTACATGGACCTTTATACTACTGGTATACAATCCTAATGATAATATTATAATATACCTAATAAAAATCTATCAACTGCACTCATACATGCATGTGCGTGCACATAAGACATGAGTCATAACGCAGTACCTAAACCATTATGAATGTGCAATTTTAATTATTAAATTATAATGTGTATATAATTTATCTAATATATGAATATAATAAATATAATAAATGTAATAAGAATGTAGGTACATGACAGGTAGGTAACCGATACGACATACATAAACATTAAACATGTATATAATATTGTGTATATTTATATTTGAAAAATCTAATGAAAATAATGCAAAATTGAAAAAATTTCGGGCGGCCGTGCCTATAGGTTAGTTATAGGTATTAAAATTGAAAGAACGATATAATACAGCCCCTGTTAAATAATAAAATAAGTAGATAATAAAATCAAGTGTTAATTTATTATTCAGTATTTATTAAATAGTTTATTTCATTTAATACACATAATTAAACCTACCTATATAAGTTATATCAAATAGAATATAGTCATATCATTATACACTTTAATTTCCAGACTTTAATTAAATGTATAAAGTTATATTTTGTTTATTAATATTGTGTTATATAGAATCTGCAGCAATATTTGTATGCTACACTAAATTTATGATTACCAAGTTTGACTCACCTAAAAACTGTAATGTATTAAGTACCTGCTACATAGTATATTGTTTATTGTCTATTTAAGAACGACATAATCGAGCCCATGTCAAACGATTTAGGCAGTGGCGAATTACAGGGGGAGGGAACTGGGGAAAATGCCCCGGGTGACAAATTTTAGGTGCGGGAAAATATTTATAGTGATCTATTACCTATGAGAATGTTTTTAAAAAAATATTACTTTTTTTTAAGACTAACTAAAATGACAGCAGCAGACATACGGATATCTGCTGAGCTTTTAAAAAATGAATTTCAATGCAGATTTGGGGACTTAATTTTTCTATAAATGTATTCATTTTTTAAAATTTTTTTTTGTGTCAGTCATCATGGTTTGGGGCAGTCAAACTGCTTTAATATATTGTTACGGTGACATTTGAAAATATTAAAAATCCATAGTCAACATTTTTTTCTATGAGCATTTAAAGTTCGAATTTTGACAAAAAGCGTAAAAATCACGAAAATGTGCAAATTATTTTGAGTTCGAAATTCCTAAAAATTTTTTTTTTAAATCTATGTTTTTAAAATGTAACACAAGATTCCTTAAGGTTATCAACCTTTATCGAAAAAAAAATATCTATAAGAAAGTTAAATTGAATTTATGAGCGTTTGAAGTTCAAAATTGCTAGTAAAATATTGCCCCGGGGCTCTTAATGTCTAAATGCGCCACTGTGTGTAGATGTCCATACAAATTCGTAATGAATGTTGCTAAAATGTCTATACGCGTTCATAGTGTCATACACACCTGTGATTGTTGATATTTAAAGTTTGTTTTTGGAAAATGTTAACCACATTTGAAGTGCAATTATATATACTTATATTATAAGTCTAAGATAATTTCGGTAGTTAAGACGATATTATTCTATCACCATTTTCAGAAATTTTAATCTGTGTTTAAAGTATGACTTTGTTTAACTGTGTGACTTATATGTTTGGCGGTTATTAATTTTATTGCACGAGATAGCTCGATAGGCGGAAATCGATTTAATGACGTTTGATTGCTAGATATACCTTTCTTAATATCGACGGGTAGGTATATCAAACCTTAGTGCAAAACTGTTTTTAACAGTAGGTAATAAGTAGGGCTAGGATTTTAATGACCCAAAAAACCTAAAAAAATGACATTAAAATAACCTAAAAATGACCTAAAAAAATGACCTTAAAATAACCTAAAAATGACCTTAAAAAATGCCCAAAAGATAAAAAATGATTTTAAAATGTTATAAAAATGGATTATAATTATTAATTAATATTTCGGTAAAAAATTATTTAAATTATAATATTATAAAAAAACAAAAAAATATCGAAGATTATTCTCTATACTATCTCTATAATTGAAATATTGAATATGATATTATTTCTGTTACAAATTCAAAACTTTTATCGAGAACATCTAGTGTAAATGAAAATGTATAAAAATATTACCTAGATTTCAAAAAAGTATAAAAAATGCCCGTAAAATTGAAAAAATGACCTAAAAATGCTAAAAAATGACCCTAAATCCTTAAAAGTACAAAAAAAATGCAAAAAAAAGCAAAATAAAAACTATAAATTTGGACTCGTATATGACCAAATCACATTTTGTGCTTGAAAAGCTATGTCCTGTAAATCCTAAAAAAAATGCAAAATCCTATACTATCCTATCCCTAGTAATAAGTATCTGAATTTGAATTGTTTCAAATTAACTTCAAATTAAAATATGAATTAATTTTTATAAAAAGTTTAGTTTAAATAGTTTAATTAAAAAAGGAAAGATAATTTTTAATTCATGTAGGTAGGTACTGACAAAATATATATCATAAATATAAAAGCTAAAGAACAAAATTAAACAGCAAACTGCTTACAGGAGACTTAGTCGATTTGATATTTTGAGTATTAGGTATGGATAGTCTGATAGTCATTAACCAATGGTTTCATTAAAAGTAGGTGAAACTAAAATTAATTATTATGTAAAATATGTAGAATTGTATGCAATTATGTATACAGCTCATACTATAAAAGCTAGTCATGGAGTGTGTAAATGATAAGTGCAGTAAAAACAATTTGAAAATATAATTGTAATTGTATGGTTTTTATTCGTATGTCAAATTGTCAACAGTCACTAAATAACTATTGTGTATGTCCACAAACACTGATAAATGTCCGCAATTGACATCATTCATCAAAATTTTTGGTAAATGTTAACTATCACCTGTGACTAACATGTATGAAATAAAAAGATCGTCTTTTCAATAGGGTGAGAATATAGGTACCTACTCAGTTTGTAACACCTATATGGTGGAAATACACGGAATGGATAGCCTGGTAGTAGACTTTTGTAAGATAATATAATATAACACAGGGCGATGGTGTACTGCGTAGTAGTAATAATAATATTACCTGCAGTATATTGCGTAGTGCGCACTGTGCAGTAATGTACTGTGTCGAGAGGGCTGATAACCCTATGCCATACCCCCAATGAGCAGAAACGCACCCACGGTTCGGCGGCCGACCGATAGCTGCAGCTATTGTAAAGGTTGGTGGTGATCGTGTGTTTATTGTATACTGTACCTACGTCCTACACCCAGTAGCGGATCCAGAAGTCACCCAAAGGGGGAGGGGGCGAATTTTCAAAAATTAAATTATAATAGAAATAAAGTTAAAAAGACAGCCCGATGAGGGGGGGGGGCGAACGCCCCTTCGCCCCTCCCTCGTATTCGCCACTGCCTACACCGTTCAAATAATATTATTTAATGTTATCATTGATTACTCTCATAATATAGTGTTTAATGTTTATCATTATCACTAAAAAAAATTAACAGATTTGACAGTACCAATAAGGAAGGTATTTTTAATAGAAATAAGTGTATTAACTCTCATAAAAAAAAAAATTATACGATTTATATACCTAATAATTTGTATCTAATTATAATTAAATCACATAACCAACATATTTTACATATTATATTTTGTGATTTATAACTGATAAATAACACTTACAAATTATTATTTTTCTAAAAAATGAGAAAAAAATTAAAATAATTATGTTTGAAACCAGCGGCTTAGCTATAACTTTGGATTGCTGATTGGTGGAGTGGAAAGGGAGGTCAACATTATTCTCGGTCAAAAAGCTTGTAAATATAATATTATTCAATGTACCTACAGAAATTTAAAATATTATGGAACACGAATTTCAGCAATTTTAATAATAAAATATAGATATGGTAAATATAAAAATAATACATTAATTAAAGTTTTGACAACTTTCTACTACACTTGGTTTTTTCCCTTTTTTTGTAGTTTCATTGTAGTTTGAACGTCTTACAATAAAATGCATACGCATTGTAATAAAAAAGCGTACAATACTTTTTGTCAAACCCATATTGTGTTCTTCACAACCAACAAATGGTAAAGATGCTGTGTGCCTGTGTCGGTCCATAAGTTTGAAGTTATAGAAAAAATTGTATTTACATTTAATTTTTCAGATACTAAAGTCTTTAACGTTATTTTTTCTAAAGTTGAAATAAGAGCAAAAAGACTATCTGATGGCCGAATCAAAAAACCTTTGGAGCGCATATCAATGAGTTTGTCTCTAGATGAAATAACTTCATTTTTTAAATTTAAAAGACACCTTTGACATTTTGTGAATCTGGTTGATTTTCGAGCAACGTATCCAGCTAAGTAAGATAAAACTAAACTCGATGTATCAGTCAAACTATATTCATGATCATGAATATATGGTGCAATTTCAATTTTTTCGGAATGTCCTTTGTCTAAAATGTCATCTAGTTCTTGGTTTATTCTTTGGGCTCGTTCATTAGTGTTGGTTATATCTTTAATATTCAAAAGAGTATTTATTATATCTCCACCAGAAACATTGGAACCCTTTGGAGGCTTTACTAATGAATATGTGCTTAGTAACCTAAACATTTGAATAAAAAGAATTGAATCCAGATGATCATTAGAGCCACAAGCTGAACGCATCATTCCAAAAAATCTCTAAACAGTAAATATAATTTTGATTTTTAAATGTATAATTTATTATTAAAGTATAATATTGTATAATATAAATAAATAAATATATATAAATAATCAAAGCAAAATAATAATAAAAAGTATTTAAAACCTTATCATTGTATGCATTGTCTATTTATAAATTTAATATTTTGATGAATAATAAATTTCATGTATGAATCATCCATGCCTATGTGCAAGCCCGGATTAATAGGGGGGGGGGTGGTCCAAGGGGCTTCGATAGTTAGAATTTATTAAGGGGCCTCAGATTTGTCCATTACTTTTTCCATTATAGGCTATAACACTGCATTAATCACCTAAAAAAAATCGATGATTATTTAGCGAAGAAAAAAGCTTGTAAATTATAATTTATAAATAAAGTGATACATTATTCATTATTTATTGCTATGTACCTAATCCTAATGGCTAATACCCATATATATTTATTATAACGTGCACCTAATATTAAATAATATAATTATTTTTTTTTTTCGTACAGATGCCTTATTTAAAATGTTGGCCCCTGGGCCTCAAAATGTCTTAATCCGGGCATGTCCATGTGTTTAATAGCTAATTATTATAATATATATTTTATTTTTATTATTGAAACTCATTTTAACCGAGATCATCCTACTCTTGTATATATGTTTTGGATCTGATCCAGATCATAAAGTATTTGTAAGGAATAATAAATCAAGTTTAATTTGAAAAACGTACATAATCCCTATTATACTACATGCTATAATTGTAAAACGTAGCACTGCTATCGAATGTCGCGCTCCTGGTGGCAGAATAACCGTGCGACTTTTGTCAGGCCACTTTATAAACGAGCGGAGTTTAGTCTCCTTATCTCTAATCTTCATGCTTACAACCTTTGCGACTTTTATAATTCATTGTCTCCAAAATCGGTACCCACTCCCAGCGAGTCCGACGGGCCCCGAGTTACACTTAGAGCTAGTTGTAAATAAAACCAAGCTCATGTGTTAAAAAGAGATAGCGAATACTTTAGGCACAGACTTCTATACTACACTAGATAATTAACTCCTATACAATTTACATTGTTACAAGTGAAGCTCAGCTATAAGCGGCCGCCATTTTGTCGGTTGGCAAAACATTTCATTTATTATACAAAATGTATTAATAATAATATATTTTTTAATGGTCAAATAAAATAGTAAATGTAAAATGACCTATATATTTTTTTTTTTAATTACCTACATGTTTAGAAATAATAAAGTACGATACAAAATAAATCATAATATCATCTTATTTGTTTCTTTTATATGAAATACCATACAATTTCCAACCGATCTTGAAGCTTCAATTCATGACCGGAGTTCGCTATCTATAGTAATATATCATAGATATATGTTGTTTTATATATCTATGTAATATAATAAAATTATAGAAATCTGTGACTTTATTTATTTTTATCTCTGTCTTTATTGATAATACGGCGCATGATACAATTTGTCATGATACGGGGTATCGTAGGTTGTAGGTATACACTTTTCAATGTTTATCGGCATAAATGTTATCGACCACCTTCAATTTCAGCTTTTTGTACTTTCTGCTCGAAAATTGAATATTTGTGTTATAATCTACATTCTATAGGTATAATAATTAAACGATGGTTAATTTTTGCAGTGCTTTTAATTGCTCCAGCACAAGTGATGTCAAAACAGAATTAATATTTCCTAAGTTAGTATTAATGTTAATTGTGGTTGATTATTTTGTAATTTTATTTATTGAACTATTAATTTAAATTATATATAAGTACCTATATAATTATATAAATAATTTAACTTTGTATTTTGTCGTCCAGGTTTCCACTCAATGATAGTGAAAGGTTAAAAAAATGTGTACATGCGTCAGGCGGACAAATTTCAAACCAAATTGTAGTTCGTTTTTGGGCAGTCTACATTTTACTGAAAATGATTACAATAAAGCAGTTAGTAGGAAATTAGTTTTGAAAAAATGTGCTATGCCAATTTTTTTTGAATTCCTGGATCATTTAATCATTTAACGCCCAAGGTGAAAGAAAGGCGAATTCTGCAACGATCTGTGGAAATTCAAGTAAGAATTGTTTTTAATTTACTTAATATGCTAATAATTTATTTTGTAATATTTATTTTTTATTTGATAATAAAAAACAATACATTAATAAAAATTATTTAACAAAATAAAACAATTTACATTGATATTATAAACTATCCTTGAACGTTTAATATTTTTTCTTCATAAATAGTAAATATTAGGTATCATATTAATTATTATACTACATTTTCACTATATAATTAGTAATAATTATAAAATTATATTACAATTATTATTATATAATGATTTTAGGGAAGATTTAGACCTTCAAGTAATAATCACAAAATAATAATATTTAAAATTCCAAATTAAAAAAAAATAATAAAATATTCTTAAATTTATAAATAATATAATTTAGGTATATTCCTTCTTAACATATTTAGTAAAATTTCTTTTCATAATATATAATATTATATTAGAACATTCCAAATTTTTTTCATCCTTTATAAATCCTTTGAAATGGCTTTTATTGTTGCATTTGTTTTAAATGATTGCTTATATTATTTATTTACAATACAATTTTATTTGTATTCTAGTTGCATGTAGATTTTTTCACTTGTGACATCGGGGTATTGTGGAGGGTTTTTATTCTGGTATCAATTATATATTTTTTTTTCCAAGTATTTACCATGTTTTTTACAAGCCACATAATAAACCAATGTACATAGAAGTAGCGTAGACATGGTTATGGAATGGGAGGGGGGAACAAAACCAAAAGAAAAAACCAACAACCGTTTTATTATTTGATACCCCCCTCCCCCCCAAAAAAAAAGGTTGTTAATTTCAAACAAATTAAATAGACCACCTCAATGGCAATTTTGCAACAATTATAAACTGATTATTTGTAAAAATAATGGGTGTAACACATTTGGGCACAAAACAACATTTTTGCATGGAAATTGGGAGAATTAGATACACTTTTAGGTACAATATTTTTCAGTTGTCATCAAAAATAAATACAATGTTTGGGTACATTTTGTTTTTTAATTAAAATAATACTATGTTTATTAAGATGTGTAAATCAAATTATTATTAAAATGTTATTTTAGGTGTCAAGTAAAAATGTTTGGAGATATGATGGTATCGTTTCCTGTAGGTATTGCAAATAATCCGAATCCAGCAAAATTAATATTTTGATTGAAGAACACTACACGGGTGGAAAATATTCTTCCGAACACACAATTAGTCTTAACGTAAAGAAAAATTGTGACAATAAATATAAAAACAAAAATGTTTTCAATATTTTTTTTATTTTTTTTTTCAGTGACAATTTATTTACATCTATTGATTTAACTGTTTTTGAGTTCAATATGCCTGCTTTAACTTCATTACTACGTAAACAATTTGAGCAAAATCCTGTTGCATTTTACTTTAATGTTGATATTCTTAAATATCAAGTTAGTTATATTAATGTCATGATAATTAATCAAACATTTTCTAATTTTTTATTGGATGTTTTAGGTAAAATTGCACAATACTGCAGCCGCTTCAAGTCTGTTCCAATTAGTTTCATTTTACAAATGCAGCAATACTTATACGGATCTTAAAATTGGCTACAAGTTTAATGGTCATTCCATGAGTGTTCCTTCACCTTTACTGAATGTTACTGTTTCTGCTAATTAGAATTCAGCTGTACGTAATATGCAGTCTAAGCCAATTTAAAAAAAAGGTAATTTTAATCTATCACAATTTTGTTAAATCAATAATTTTGTAAATTGTTTTAAACATAGGGCATCAGATACGAAAACAGTCAATGGAGGTTTGCAGAACTCGTTCAATATTCTGAAAGTCAAGGTTCAGGTTCACTAAAAGCAAGATTTGAGGTTGACAGCTTATGCCCAATATCAACTATAGTAACTGAATTCAACGGTGAGGGTACTATATTATCGGGACTAAAATTTGAGCTAGCAATTAGTGGTTATAGGGTGTCATTAATCAAAAGACATTTCGTTGCTGGTAAATTTCCATTATTAATTATTCTATTTACCTATTATATTCTATTATATCTTCGTTGAATAATTAATCTTATTAAACTTTTAGATTCTGAGTGGAGCGAAAGAATGTATCGGTTTTACAATGATGTGTTTTTTTTTCTGTCTGTCAGCAACATTTTGGGTAGTAAACTTGGTTTTTGATATTTTTACTAAATGTTAAAACGACCATTATCCATACATAGTAATATTTTCAAACAATTTTGAAACTTTTTCAGCTTTTAATAGCCATGAGAAATGTTGTAAATTATTATATAGTTAAAAATTCATAAAAGTTTTTCTTTTCATGCTTAAGATTAAAAAATATAGTATAAGATTTTTCATAAGTTTTCCTACCTATAACAAACAAAAAAAGTGTACTTAAATGGAACTTTATTTTTTAGGAGCTTTTGAACTTTTTGAATTTTTACTACATTTGATATTCAGCGGTAAATTTTTGATCAATTTTTTGTATTATGTTGTATTTTCAAAACGAATAACCGTAGACTCATTAAATGTTTACCATATATTTATATCAGCATTTTCCATACACGGTGCAATTTTCATACTATTTCAACGTTTTTTGAGCTATTTAAAGCTATGATAATTTTTTCAAATTTTGTAAACTATTTTTCAGTTAGAAATTCATAAAAGTTGTTCTTTTCTTAACTAAGATAAGCAATTTTAATAAAAGATTCCTAACAAAATTAAATTCATAACAAAACAATGAAGTTTAGAGTCAAGTAACAATATTTTTTTATGAGCATTTGAATATATAATTTTTACAAAATTGTATATTTAGTAGTAATTTATCAAATTCAACACGACCGTAAACCACTAAGCAGTCACCCACCACTTACAAAAGTTATGGGGTATTTACCACAGTAGTCATACGTTTTCGGAGAC